GATCTAGGGGGGCACAGGTAGGAATCAGGTGAACCATGTTGCTATGATCATTGTTGCTGGTATAACCGTAGGGATGCTGGTGGGCGCAGGCTTGCTGTCACGTGGAGAGCATTGTGAAGTTCATGGTGGCAGCTGTCTCTGGGTTAACTTCCAAATCTCTTACAATTTGATCTCCCCTTTGACCCTTCTTAAAGTGATTTCAGTTTTTCATATTTTCGTCTTTCCTTTTGATGGAAGTTCTATACTCTCTACAGTCACGGTTGCTGGGTGTTGGTTTGCTTTGTGCAGTGCTGAATCACTGTGTTGTTTGAAAGACTGTCTGTCTATGAGACCCAGGATCGGTAGGTCCGTGGAGGCAGGAACTGGATGGGGTGCAAATGGGGCGCTAACCACAGTGAGCGGGGAAGAAAATGTTCTGAAATGGATTACAGCACAACTCTTCCTAACGTGACTGCGTGATTAAACTGTGTGATCTGGGAAGCGTATGCCAATAAAACTATTGAAAAAAAACAAAGTGGGGCTAACAACCCTTCTTCTCAGGGGCAGGTGGGCGGTCCTGAGAGTTAACTTAGATGAAGGCTGACCAGTGGCCTATTTCAACGAGACCTGCCACAGGAAGACCCCTGATTGACCTCCCCCACCTCCTACTCCTCCTCTCAAGATTCCCCTCCAAGACCCCTCCTCAAGGATTTCCCCAACCCCACTGGGACAGGGGCTTCTGAAGGGTGGGACTCTTTGAGCCACCTCGGGCCTCTGGAGCAAGCCTGCTGGCTTATTCGGTCTTTCTCTTGAGGCTCCACACATGCGTGGGGTTCTTGCCATCACCAACGGCTTTGAATCCCCTAGAGATTATTCACACCTGATGTACAAAAGAAAAAGGAAACTGAGGCTCTGAGAGACGAGGTCACCCGTCCAAGGGTTCTCCTACCTGGAAGGAGGCAGCATTAGCTCTCAGAGGACACCCAGGTCGGCCCTGCCGGGCCATGCTGGCTTCCCACCGGAACTTCTCAGTGACGGGCCAGGCGGCGTCAGCCAAAGACCTGCCACCTCTCATCCCCAGGCTTCCTGCTCTTCCCCAAGGCGGGCCTGCGGGGACTCAGAACCCAAGCTCCTCTGCCCAGCCAGGTCCGCCCTGGCTTCACGCTGGGCCAGAGAGGGGAGGGAGAGCTGGGGGAGGTTCCCCAGGCCAGCCTTCTCCCCTGACAGGGACCCTGGGGCAAAGTTCTAACCTCCCAGTTGCAAGAAGGAAGGTCTTGCCTGATAGGTGCCCGCCCTAATCCTGGGACCTGCCCAGGGACCTCTTGGCCCTTTTCCTGGCGGGTTTCCGACTGCAAGTCTAGGCAGAGTTACCCTCTGGAGTTAAATAACAACTGAGCCGAGGTTAAAGGTGAGCAGCTATTGATGGCTGGCAGGGGGTGTTGGGGTGGGACGACTGTGTATTTGGGAAGTGTCCAGTCCTTGGGGCAGACTTCCTGGTAGGCAGGGCTGGCTTTTACTGGCCTCTCTTCTAGCCTCCTTATTCCAGCCCCCCTCCCCCGACAGGTGAGGTGGTGGTGGAGGTGTTAGGGGTCCTGGAGTTGCTTCAGCCTCATAGCAACCCGAAGGCACAACAGAACAAACCA